GACAAAACACAATTTGAGGATTGAAAAAAAAAAAAAGGTTGAAAAATAAGTCCTTATGTCTACATGATTTCCAGAACAAATCTTGACTGATTAAGATCCCAGATAATCACGGCATGGAGAAGCCAGGGTGGTGACAACTTGAGAGCTGCACATGCTCCTGGGGTGGTGGCTGGGAAGACGCCAGCTAGGAGCTGGGCAGGAGGCAGCAGGAAGTACACGAAGCCTTCTGGAAGCCCTTCCCTCAGAAAGCAGGCTGAAGCACTCCCAAGATTAACACTCCCATCCAGCTCTGGTCCACTGCCTAAGGCATCTCACATCATTCTCCAGGGAACCTGATGCATGCACAGAAATGGTCATTTCTCCATGACTTTGGCCAGCTCCATCTTGTTCCCCACTGTCCATTACCCTCAGAGTGACTTCTTTCCGGTGCCCCTGTTTCCTCCCAGAGCTACATGAAGCTGCTGCTTCTTGTGCTGCATAAGGCTATCTCCTTGCTGACACTCCTAGGCCTTCCTGCCGGCTGGCTACCCACAACTGCCTATACACCTGTCCTGCAGACCCCCTGGCATCAGCCACAGTCTACAGTGGTCTTTTACACCAGGCCTCCCTCACTCAAGAGTCTGCAACTCACCTGCTACCAGCTGCCCAGAAGCCACTCTGTATGTACTGTAGTCCACAAAATTCATTCTCTACTCTACTGTGCAGTATCCCTAAAACATACACATTGCAGAACACAATTGTAAAAGCCATAAAAATGTTCCTTTATGATATAATTTCATTATCATCTAATATCTTCATTACTATATAACAACCTTGGCAGCCAAACTGGTTAAAATAAGTAAGACTTCAGACCATACAAGCGAAGGCTAGGACCAGGCATGCACCTTTAATCCCAGCACTCAGAGACAAGAAGCAGTCAAATCCCTGTGAATTCAAGAATACCCTGGGCTACATAAGTAAGATCCCCACCAACCAAAGCTACACGCTTAAAAAAAAAAAGAAAAGAAAAGAAAAGTGAGGACTAGAGCACAGACATGGAAGGAATCTCAGGATCTCAGTTCAGCCCAGGCCAAGAGCAGAAAGCCTCTTCCAGGGAACCCGGGGAGCAACATCATGCTGTGTTGACATAGCCTTCAGCTCCTTCCATGTGAAGACAGAATATTAGTGAACCATGGAATGGCCCAAATTAAAGCACTGACCTTGGATTACACATGCTTCCCTCCAAGCAGTTACTTTATTTGTAACTTGACACTAGCCAGGCCTCTCACTGAGACCCTGGCACAGACAGAAAAACAGAAAGAAGGATCCTGGCTCTGCTAGACTGTCTGCTTATCTGAGGCCATCAGCGAGGTCAGCACAGATGCCTCCTAGCGGACACCTACCTTCTCTACGCAGAGAGCGAGCTTCCAACAAGGAAGTTCAAATACACTGCAGACACAGGGTGGCGTCAAACTGAGTGAGTGACCAGGTGACAGCGCCAGGGTTTCCCCGGTGGCCTGCCAGTTAGCAGTATGTAGGTGCGCTTTAACACCAAGAACTGCAAGAGCAATTACTGAAGGGACAGGGACAGGAAAGGAAGAGCGGCTGTTTATTCTTCCAGCAGACCATGGCCACATCAGCCCTCACACCACTGTGTGAGGGGACCTGCCGCACAAGCAGAGGCCTGAGAGCTGAGTTCACCACAGCCTGCCTGGGCACATCCCGACAATGAGGGCTTCAGCACACGATGAGACGAGCAGCGCCAGTCACAACTTCTTTCCACAGAGTCCTCATAAGCTGAACCAATCCAAGCCCTTTCCTGGGGCTGCTCACAGCACTGGAAACAGTTATTTAGAGCAATAAATCCCAACAGCTAGGCGGCTTTTACGTCAGAGAGCCAGGGCCTGGCTCTAGCAAAGTCCAGAAAGAACGGCAATAAAATCATAACGCAGGCCTCACCCAGCACCACAGGGAGTTTAAAGGAAAACAGAGGAGAGAGGAGTTATACACAGCAAATAAAAAGGCCACTTCATCACCCGGCTAAAGCCAAGCTGCCCTGCCAATGTAAGAGAGGACCCAAAGGCCACAGGACTCCACCAGGCCTGACATGCCACCAGCACTGCGCCAGGCCACACAAGAGCAGGCGGGAGTGAGCCAGGCAGGCCAGGGCATGGGGCCAGAGAGAAGACACTAAGGTCACAGAGGAGGGAGAACAGATAACTAAGAGTCAGTGACAGGGGCCAGCATGACTACCCTGGTTCCCTAGCTTTGTCCCAACAATCCGAAGTTTCCTGCTCCAGGCAGCAAACTGAAGGCTGGGAACTCTGTGTAAGAGGCTATAATTAACCTGTGCAAAGCTTCAGGCTCAATCCCCAATATTAGAATTCCCTAATATTAAAAATCAATGAATTAGTTAACTGACTATTAATTCTCTTCTTCCTGAAATCCACTAAATCCAAAATATAAACTGTGGATGTATTCAAAGCAATGCCCAACAATGGGAAAAGCCCAGAAAGACTCACCTGAAACCACAGGGCCAACAGGCAAACCTAAGTGTCACCAGTAAGAACCTATGGCCTAGGCACACAGCCAGCTTCCCTCTTGGCCAGACGAGGCTGTGAGGTGCCATGTGGAGGGCACCTGTTGTATGGCTGCAGAAGACAATCCGTAGAAGGCCAGAGGGGTTAGAGAGGCAGGAGTCTCAGCAAGCTCCAGGCCCTGAACAAACAGCCCAGCCACAGACATGCAAGCATACTGAGAAAAAGCATGCTCTCAGCACAAGGCCACTCTAGCCGACTCCCTTCAAGACGGAGGTGCACACAACCTGACAGGCAGGTACGAGGCCCCCAGAAGCCCAAGGACAGATACTCAAGCAGAGGGGCTGGAGGAGCAGTGCGGTGGGGCACACTTGCCCCATGTTTGTCCTCAGCAAAGGAAAGAAGGCAGGAAGGGGGTGGGGGGCTAGAGAAATAAGCGAACAACGATGAGCAAAATTCCCCACACAAAAGGCAATGACTCTCTGGAGGAGGAAAGTCTGAATCCAGCTGTCCCCATTTATGAGACTAAGGCTTGAAGAAGATGGTTGGGAAAAGTCAAAGACAAGTAGATAGGACAAGATCCACTAGCCAAAAATAGTAGTTTAGAGAACAAAATAAATACTGTATTCTGGTAAGAAAACTCATTAACCAAAAGAATAGCCATTCATTTTTAATTAAGTACTGGGGGTAAACACTGGAATATATAGAAAAAAATGATTAATAATGCTAAAAGACTATATCAAAATTATAACTACCATAGAGAATTTTACTTTTCTCAGAAATCAAGCAAAGAATATAGTTAATGTACAGATATTCTTGTATATAACTAGGCTATGCATATGTATGAGAGAATTTTAAATATAGTACTAAGATATACTTGCAAACTTCTTTAGACCAAGAACGTAATAACAAGAGCGTACTTTTCCTCAAATGCCTGAGTAGCGTGTACAAGATATGATTGTATCTGTGTCAGGTCACAGAGTATGTACACCATTTAAACAGCAAAGAGAAAATAGTCATTTTCTACAGCATGCTAGCAGAAATAAAGCATACTGAAACTACCCAATGCCAAAGCAGTGAGAAGGTAGGAGAATACAGCTCCTTACACGCTGCAATTAGAAGTTCAGTTAGACAACATCTGGAACAATCTCAGTCATCCTGTAGACATTTAACCTGTGTGTCTGCTGGCCCAGCTCCAGCTTTTCAGAAGCTGTCAAAAGTGGGGATACTCACAGTACTGTACATAATACACTCATAGTAACTGTGTAATGTTCACGTGGAGTTATCACGAACACTGCCTTACCCATATAAAGACACACTCACAAACTGCCAGAAGAATGTTAGATTTATGTGCACACTGACATCGAAGATATTCACCATACAATAACATGGAAAACATCTAACACATAACCTCATGTACAGATGTTGACACATGTATCCTGTACATTCACACCCAGGGCAGATACACACCTCCACCTCACTGCAGAGTAGGAGGAAGACCTGCATGTCAATATCTACTGGAGACATTTCAGTCTACACAGCTTAATTTTTTCCCGCAATCAACCATAAACCATTTCTTTACAAGAATCAATACATGAACAACTGAACCAACAAACCCTCCGACCTAGACAAAGCCTGGAGCATTGCCCTCTGAGCTCTCAGACAAAGCGGTGATGCTCCAGAGCGTTGTATGAGCGTTCTACTCCAAGCAGTCCTGGAGGAAAGGGCCCAGACTCTAAGCCTCTGCCTCTACCCAGTGGAACAGGCCCAGAGGGAGGTTGACAAGAGCCTCAAGCATCTATCCTAGAGTCTGCCCAGCCTCCTGCGTGTACCCAGGACAGTCAATGACACCTAAAGCCCTAGAGACTACACAATGCTCTAGAAGTAGCCAAAAAAAAAAAAAAAAAAAAAAAAAAAACACCTGAGAATTCTATGAGAGAGCCATATCTTAAGGTGGGTCAGGCTTTGCTACTTTCGAAGGCTAAGTCTGTATGTCTTTGCTAATGCCCAAGCATGCAGTTTCAAATCCTGTTCTGCCCTTCCAGCTGAGTCCGTTGTGCCAGCAGTTCCAAAGGCATCTAGAAGCAGAAAGGCTTGTGAGATGCTTAAACGGCACCAAAGAAAACAAACTAAGACACTGGAATGGCTTGCTGTGTGAAGCTCCGACCCACCCAGGGCCATCACAACAGCACTGCCCCTCACTTGCCCTGACAAGACTCTCACTCTGCAAGTTACCTACTGGTATTTATCCATCACCTTCTCAAAAACAATTCTTTTTCCACGGTACCCTCGGAATCCCCAGGAGGTCGACACAGTCCTTTGAGCCAAAAGTCAAGAACTGCGGTTACTGAGCACTTGCTGATGCTGCCAACCAACAGCAACTGCCACAGGAAAGCAAAATCTGAAATGGAACAAGCAGGCTGCAGGGGCAGCAGCAACTCATGTGTAAAGAAGAACACTAGAAACCAAAGATGCAGGCCTTACCTGGATGGCTTTGGGAGCTCATTGCTAGCAGCGTCAGCGCCTTAAGTTCAAAATGGCTCAAAATGTCCACGTAAACAGTAGTTCCAACAAGCTCCAAACTTCCACCAGCACATGCAAGTACAAAATTGAGGAGGCTCGGGTCCCAGCTGCGTAAATCTGAAGTCTCACTGGCAGCGTCTTGTAAACCAAGTAATCCACAAGAAGAGCAGAAGTTGTCACCTGGCCTTGCAGAGATGAACCTGCATGGTCAGAGAAGAAAGGAGCCCTCAGTTGGGATGTCAAGGCTGAATCTGGACAAACACCACCTACCTAAGGAAATGGGTTCTGGTTTTCACTCTCTCCTTTGTTTACAGACCCGGGAATTGGAAAAGGCAATTCCTACTAAACCATTTCAATCAGCATGAACCACTGAGGTTTGTGGCAAATCACATATGAGCAAAAGACATCAGTAAGCAATGTTCCTCAGCACCACTGCACCTCTGACATCATAGAACGGTTACCTAGGGGCTGGACTGTAGAGCCGCTACACTCATGACAAAATACCCAGCAGTATCCCTGACCTCGACCCAATAAATGCCAGTGAGCATCCCCCAATCATGACAGCCAGAAATATCTCAGAGGGCCAAAATCAACCTCAGTTGAAAGTCTGATCTAGGTGTCCACCACCCTTCCAGAAACTTGCCCACCATCAGTCCTTTGGGAGGAAGTAGTATAGAACCCTGCTACTGATACAGATATATTCCAAGCTGCACTGTTTTGTGAAGTACAGAGGAAAAAGTGTCACTGCCCTGCCTTGCCTTTTCATTAAGAAGCATCCATCCAGGCTTTTCTGCACACAGCTGCCACCATAAAATTTAGTTCAAATTCTGCTCCCCGCTTTAAGTATCATCATCCTCCATGTGCCCACCTTTATTACTGCATTTTCCCAATTTTATGAGGAATGTATGGCCATGCAGAAGAGTATCTGAAAGGTACCTGGGGTAGGACCTCCCAAGAGGCAGCTGCTTGGTAACATCCAAACTCAGATCCTCTCTGCTGTCCTTATCTTTCCCTGCCTTTTGCCCAAAGGAACCACTATCCAGATAACATCCTATTCCCCAGCTGCCACTTTCTCAGGTCATTCTACATCATTACAAGGGTTCCTTGCCTGACACAAGGTTTGGGAAGACTGCAGGTTTCAGGGCACTGTCAAAAGCCCTAGTGATGCAAGGCCCACAGATTTAACAGATTCTCTACCTGACCAGACTTTTCCACAATGCAGTCACTTTCAGAGACGAGCCAATAAATGCCAACCCAGGACTACCTGACTGATTCTGGCTCCAGTGCCAATTAAGGCATCTGTCTAGTTCGTCTCTTCCTTTAAGAATAAATCTTTTTGTTTGTTTTTTTGAGAATGTCTCACTATACAGACCAAGTTGGCCCGGAACTCAGAGGGACTGCCCTGCTTCTGTCTCCAGAGGGCTGGAATTAAAAGCATGTGCTACCATGCCCGGCCTATGAATTGTTTTGTTAAGCAAGCCAATTATTTTCCCCACTGCTTGCAACTAATCAGCTCATTGTGTCAAGGACTGCTCTCGAAAGGTGGGATATTCAAGGTAGTTTCCAGCTATACATTATTGCCTACAACTCCGTGGTCCTTATCTTTATGTCAACTGATCTTCGCCCAATAACAGCATGACTTTGAATACATCTCCATCTTCCTGCTCTAGAAAAGTGCTCAGTCACCTTTGATTATTTTTACTCAATTCATTCTGGCTTCTATGCTGCCGACTGGACTCTCACCATAGAACCCACCCCTCTTGCCTCAGACACATCTGTTGTTTATTCTGCATTCACAGGCGGCCTCTCTGGTACATTATGCACATGACTGATGAGCTCTTCCACACTATCAGTTTTCTTCGTTGAGGTCCTGATGCTATTTAAGTAGGCTTTAAACGTTGTTCCCCACTACTTCTCTTGTGAACCTTCATTTAGCCTGATCCTCTTCTGGACAATGCCCCTCCTGCCCCACCCTATCCCTCACACATTCATTTCCTGACCTAGGTCTAGCCAAACTCCTAGAAAACTTTCTTCTGACTAACACAGGAATCATGTTCTGAGGCGTGGTCCCAGATATTCCAGAACACCTGTTCACAGGCCCCCCAAATGGGGACTGTGGTTGATTTATCCTCAAAGAATACCTCCAGACCAGAGGCCCACCCAAGCCCACTGCCCTTTCCTACAAGATAAGTCAGCTTCCCAGGGTTGCAGCTTCCATCCAAGGCCTCCAACAAGCTCTATTATGAACACCACTGATAGAGATGAGCCCCTTCTAACAGAACCAGGAGCTTTTGTTGTGACACACTACATATGTTCTGGGAGAACTCATACTTGCCAAAACTGAACACTAAAAATACCAGGGCTTAGGAGAAGAAGATGTTCATAAGCAACACACTACAGAAATGTATAATAAAAGAAAAAGATTACCACATATCACAAGGGACATTAAATAGTCCTATGGCAATAAGTCTAATAAGTGGAGAATTTTTAATATTAGAAACAGTGACAACAATTAAATAAGAGGATGCAGAGAGGGCTGGAGAGATGGCTCAGTGGTTAAAAGCACAGACTGACCTTTCAGAGGACCCAGGGTTCAATTCCCCACACCCACATGGCAGCTCACAACTGTCTTTAACACTAAGATCTGACACCCTCACACATACATACATGCAGGCAAAACACCAATGCACATGAAATAAAAATGAGTTATTAAAAAAAGTGGATGAAGAGAAAAATGTTTCTAAGTCTGGAAATCAAGGACAACTGAACCTATTCTCACCTACATTTGTGACCTCATCAAATTGTCCAGACACTCTAAGGGCAGAGCTTTTCAGACTTGCTAATAAAAGAGGTTTTTGTTTTGCTTTGTTTTTTATACCAGATAGAGAACCACCTTGAGATATGACTAGAAATGGTCTAGAGACAGAGAAGGTCACTCATTTTATGTAGTATCACTGTTCCCCAAGTAACAGCGGCCCAAAATGTGCTACCTACAAGAACACATTTTCAGTGTAGGCACAGGCCACATACTGACTTTCAAATCAACAACAGACTGCATAAAGCAAATACAGCAGCGGTCCCATTAAGAAGGAAGCCCATGTGACACTGGTCATCTTAGCCTGTGTAACACTCATACAATGACAATGACGACAAAACTATACAGTATGCTCCTTCACAGAGCTGCATTTGACTATGACATCACACACTAAAGACAGGAAAAGATATACCTCACAAATCATGCAGGTTAGCCTCAATTGTCTGATTGACTCTATTTAGAATCCCCCCAAGAAACAATAAGGAATCCTGGTGTGTTTGTTGAAGGCCTTTCTAGAAGGAACTGCCATCTTGAGTAGAGGAAACACCGTCCCATAGGCTAAGAGACCCAGAGAATGAAAGGGGGAAATTGAAAAGGCAGCCTGACACCAGCAAGCCACCTTTCTATACTTCCTAGGACTGCTCTGCTCCACCACACCCTGTTTACCATGACCAACTGAACTCTTTGAAGTCATAAGCCAAAGTAAATGTCCCTCCCTTGTCTCTGACAAGCATTTGCTCACAACAATGATAAAAAGTAACTTACAAACACTAAGCAAGAGGAAGCTTTGAAGGTGACATTAGCATCCGACAAAATAAAACTAGATGCAGAGGCCCAACTCCTAATGGCAGATCAGTAAGTTGAAGAGTAAATGAAAAGCACATTTCACTAAAAGCAAAACTAAGAAAAGCATGAGGGATATGGGTACGTCTACCATTACAGCTGAGAATCTCAATGCTTATTCTCAGGGACCATCACAACAACAGACAGAAAACTAGCAGGGTACTGGAATACATACATACATACACACACAGACACAGACACACACACACACACACACACACACACACCAACATGACTCAGTGACACTTAAAAACACTGTACAAAAGCAGTGGGGTACACTTTCTTCACTGTCCTTTAACACAGGAAGCAGGCTTTGAGACAGACACCTTCAGGCCCATAAAACAAGTACCATTAAACTTAAAAAGACTCAAGTCACATAAAATAAGTGTATTTTACTAAACTAGAATTAAGTTAAAAATCAGTAACAGAAACCTATTTTTTTAAAGCCAAAATACTGCTGGGCAGTGGTGGTGCATGCCTTTAATCCCAGCACTTGGGAAACAGAGGCAGTCAGATCTCTGTGAATTTGAGACTAGCCTGGTCTACAGAGTTCCAGAACAGCCAGGGCTACACAGAGAAACCCTGTCTCAAAACAAAATAAACAAATAAAACAAACATCCCAAAATATCTGTAAACTAAATAATGTACTTCAGTGCACCACATGTGATCCCAGCATTTGGAAAGTGGAGACAGGAGAATCAGCAGTTTACAGTTATCCTCAAGTACATAAAGAGTCTGAGAGCAGTCTGGGCTACACGGAACCCTGTCTGAAACAAACAAACAAACAAACAAACAAACACTTCATGAATGAAGAAAATTGGAAGGCACTTTGCAATGAATGAAAATGGAAATACAAGATAGCAAAATATGCAATGCCCAGAGGGAAATTCTCATTGAATCGCTGTGTTAGAAGAGACAGTCTTGATTTCAGTGACATTAGGCTTCATTTTAAGAAATCGGACAAGAACAAACTTAACTCTGAATAAAGAAAAAGACAACAGCAAAGAGTAGAAATCAATTCAATGAAAAAATAAATAAGTAAGACCAAGCACAGTGGAACACACCATGTCACCCAGACACTCAGGAGGCTGAGGCAGGAAGAACGTGAGCTCAAACCTGGACTACACAGTGAGCCCCACAGAAAAAAACAGGAGGGAAGGAAAGGGAGAAATGAATGCAATTGGCAAAGGTTTTGCCAGACTAACAATGATGAAAAACTGAGAATTCACAATATTAAGGGGTGGTGGAGGGGGGTCGCTGGAGAGATGGCTCAGTGGTTAAGAACACTGTCTACTGGTCTTCCAGAGGACCCAGGTTCAATTCCCATCATCCACATGGCAGCTCACAACTATCTGTAACTCCTGTTCCAGGGGATCCAACACTCTCACACAGACATACATGCAGTTAAAACACCAATATACATAAAATAAAAATAAATCATTTTTTAAAAAAAACGAAGAAGGGGATCAACTAAAGACCATACAAACAGTAAAATGACAGAAGTGAGCATCACAGACAACTTTATGCAAAGGACTTACACTA